CAAAGTCGAAGGGTTTGAATGGACAGTTTCCCAACATGGTGATTGTTACCATGCATTTGGCTGCAAACATGCAGGCCAACGACGTACAGTCAAACCATGCAGTTGGTGCATACCACTAGCCATAAGGGGGGGCGCTAGGATTAAGAGATGTGAGCATTACAACTGGCTAGGTATGCACCACACAAGTCATGTACCGCGCACTGCAGGCCCAAAGTGAGCTTAGAAAAGGGGCGCTCATTTGTTTTCATGATAGCGGAGCTCTGCCCGGTAGCCCCGGGCATCTCCAGAGGAATCCCTTTTGGGTTTTGAGTTTGGGGGATTAGGTGAGGTCCACTCAAAATCCCCGAGTGGATACGATTGGTTGGGGTCGCGCTCATGGCCACGGCTCCCACTGGTTCAGATGGTGGTGATGGCACTGCTGGAGAGCTCGGTGGAAATGTCAGAAGCCTGGTGACCGCTTTGCAGGGTTTAGTTGAGAGTCAAAAGAGCAATGCATTTGCAAAGCATTACAAACCACCACAGCTGTTCGCACCAGATACACGACAGGACGAACTGACCAAATGGGGTGACTGGCGTTTTCAGTTTGAAACATTTGTTGGGGCCATTGATGATGGACTTTTACAGTTGATGAAACGAGCAGAAAAGTTGGACACCCGCATTGAGATGACTTCATTGACGGCCCCAGAGCGCATTTTGTCAGAACGCTTGTATTCATTGCTGTCAGGTTTGATGAAGAACAGGCCATTGAGGTTGGTCCGAGGCATCCCACTACAGAATGGTCTGGAGAGTTGGCGAGTGTTGACACGAGATCTTCAGCCCAAGACTAGGCAGCGTGCATTGGCCCTGGTACAAGCATTGAATCGGGTTCAGTTTGATGCAAGCAAGACAATTACAGAACAGTTGCCCCAGTATGAAGCCATGGTCAGGGAGTATGAACGAGCAGCAAATGTCACCTACCCCGATGACTTGAAAGTTGCAGCAGTGGTTGCAGCCTTGCCCCAATCCCTTCGAGTTCATGTGCAGATGGCCCTACAGGACGACACCACGTTTGATGACCTCAGGTGTCGCGTGGAGATGTACGAGCAAGTCTCCATGAAGTGGGTCCCGGAAGCTGGAACTCAGCTTGCCATCAAACCTGGAGGTGCAGATGTTGACACCTCAGCACCGATGGAGGTCGATGCGGTTTGGTCGGGCAAAGAAGGGAAGAAGGGCAAAGGAAAAGGGAAGAAGGGGCAGAAAGGAAAATTGTCAAAAGGTAAGCAATCCTGGTCCAAGGATGGAAAGAAAGGAAAAGGCAAGTCAGTCGGGAAGTCGATTGGCAAGAAAGGAAAAGGGCCCTCAGGACCATGTCACAATTGTGGCAAGATGGGACATTTTGCAAAAGAGTGTTGGTCAAAGAAGGTTCAACGTGTTGAGGAGGACACTACCTCAGAGAAGAGCTCAGGTTCTTTGGCGTCAACTACGACCACGCCATCTTCGACGGCAGTTCGCCAGGTGAGACGCGTGAGACTGGTCACGCCAACAGGCTTGAGCACCTTGGAGATTTTCGACCTCACGGAGGGTGATGAAGAAGGCGTTGAGGACGACGACGCGTGGCAGGAGGCCTATGAAGTGTTGGCCATCAAGGTGATTGAGGAGGACGACGAGGTCTTCTATGATTGTGAGGAGCCCATTGAAGTTGAAGTTGGAAAGACAGGTTGCAGTACTTTTGACCTGACCAGCTGCCCAGATGAGAAGGTTGAGAAGGAGAAGATTTGCATGGTACAGAGCCCAATGCCCACCGTAGTGGTGACGTTAGACTCAGGAGCAGACGTGAGCGTGGCGCCAGAGAACTTTGGTGCTTTGGGACTGCCCGGAACAGCAAGACCTATGCATATGGTGGATGCTCAGGGCGAACGAATTCAGTCAATGTGGAATTTGTTGAGCAATTTGCTCTTGGCCAAGGTGTGACACACCCTTTGCTGTCCCTTGGTCGCCTTTTGAGACAAGGATGGGTGCTTTCGCGAGATCAAGATGAACTTCAGCTAGAGCACCATGAACGAGGCCTTCAAATTCCAGCGAGGCTCGAGAGGAACTCGTTGGTGATGGAGGTGCAAGTGTGCGCAGTTCGTTCGGAGGAGGACGAAGATGTCATCATGGAAGAGAAGGATGGTGAAATGCCCCCCAGAAGTAGCAGGATCAGGAGAAGAGAGAAAGGATGAAGCTCGAGAGGAGAAAGTTGAGAGTCCAGAAGTTGAGCGTGCAGAGAAGATGTCAAAAGGAGACGTCACGCCCGGCTACACCTCGGAAGACACTGTTCAGCAGGTGCATGATGATGAGAGCAGTGATGGACGAGTACAGAGTCGATTGGCCAGGTGGAACAAGAAGCTTCAACCTGTGAAGAAGGAGCCCATTGAGTTGAGCCCAGAGGACAGTCATGGCGTGGGAGAAATGTGTCAAGGTGTGATTGTGGAAGGACAGCCAAAGTTTGTGAACAGACCTTGGATTCCATTTTCAGCCAACATCATCGCACCAGCAAGAGCCTGTCCAGAACTTCGTGGATTCATTTCCAGGGAACTGGCTATGCTAGAGAGTGTACCAGGTTGGCACATTCTGCCGAACGGGATCATGGCTCACTCCAATCCCAATGCTATGCATTTTCATGATCCCAGGTCAGCATTTGGTGATGAATGGACCTCTCGGATGACGTTGATCAAAGATCGGAAAGGAAGTCAATGGCAGCAAGTCGAATCATTGGTTGACTACAGAAGCTCTCCAGCACCATTTCAGCTGTTGCCTCAAGGACCAAGAAAGATTTTGACGTTCATTGCAACGAACAGGATTCGAGACTATTTTGGCCCTGATTGTGAAGTGCCAGTGAGTCAGTATCCGTTGCTGGATGGAGAGCCACCTTCGTGGCCTGAGGACGAGGAGGTCGATCGTGAAGGTGGTGAGATCCCCACGTTAGCAGCTGAAAGTGGAGAGCAGCCAGAAGTTCGAGAGGAGGTACTATTCGCTGACCCTCAGGAGATTGAAGTTCAGATCGATGAGGAGGTTGTGACCATGGCCAATACATTGAAGAAGTTGCAGGAGAAGTGCAACATGCTTGGGCTGGCCACTTCAGGTTCCAAGGCAAAGCTGTTGGCCCGGCTACAGAAGTACAAGCATCGTGAGGAAGAGCGCATTGCCTCTGAAAGTGCAAAGAGGCTTTATGCTGAAAGTCGACGTGAGGCCATCCCGATCAAGACTCCAAAGTTGCCCACCAGGCATGAGCAGGAGTTGCATCTTCTCACTCATCTCCCTTACCAGGATTGGTGTATGCAATGTGTCATGAACAGAGCAAGAGAAGATGCAAGGCCAAATGAAGCTCGAGGAGATCGCAGAGATCGTGGAAAGCAAGTGATCTCATTTGACTATGGGTTCACGTTCACTGAAGGTGCAGGAGAAGAACGACAGTTGGGCACAGCATTGTATGCAGCGGATTCAGAGACCAAAGCAGTGATGTGCATCCCAGTTGTTGCAAAAGGCAGTGCATCTCTCAGTCGAGTGACAGAAGAACTGTTGAGATTCACTATGTCAGTGGCCAATGCCAATCCAGTTATCCTGCAGGCAGATGGTGAGCCAGCCACAAAGCAAGTGATGCGAGCAGTTCAACATGCTCGAGCTGCATTAGGTATGGCCACAGAGATCAGAGCAACAGGAGCTGGACAGCATGCAAGCAACGGTCAGGCTGAGAAGACAGTGCAATCAGTGAGAAAGCTTGCCAATACCCTGAGGAGTTTTGCGGAGGAGAAAGCAGGTGTGAAGATCACAGGCCTACACCACGTTTTTCCGTGGAGCTTCCGGCATGCGGCATGGCTGATGACAAGATACAGAGTCATCAATGGAGCCACAAGCTTTGAGGTGATGAATGACCGGAAGTACAACGGAAAGGTGGTGATCTTTGGAGAGGCAGTTCTTTTCAAAGATACAATGAGGGCCAAGTGGAAGGGAGAACCTGTTTACAGAAGAGGCATCTGGGTTGGCAAGTCATCCTGGTCAGACAGCCATATCTTGCTCACTCGAAGTGGAGCAGTGGAGGCCCGAAGCATCCGGAGACTGCCGGAACAGTTCGATGGCAAGCTGTTGATCGCAGCTCGTGGAGTTCCATGGCAATACAGCGTTCAAGGATTGTTGATGAGGAGCAAGTTTGCAGCACGGACCAGGAAAGCAGATGCTGAAGAAGAAGCTGAAGGAAATGAAGAGGTGTTGGAGGAGGAAGCCAAGAAGACAGGTGAAGGTGTGGCAATGGGTCTTTACGGAATGAATCCGGGCTACATCACACCTCTTCCTATGCAGGGCTCGCAGACTCCTGTTCCACCAACTCCAGGTGGAGTTCCAGCACCAAAGACTCCAAGAGGGACACCAGGAATCCCTGCACCGAAGACACCAGTGCCCACATCCGGAATCCCGGCACCAAGGACACCAGTCCCGGCTCCAAGGACACCAATCCCAGCATCGAGGACACCAGGAATGGCGCCATCGGCAGCGCCGGGAACACTATCGGCAGTTGCACCGGTTCCCAAAAGCAAGTCTACAGCAAAGCAGACGATGTTGCCGTTCATGAAGGATGCCAGGAAGGAAAGTCCTCGTGTGAGTGTTGAAGAGAGTCCATCAAAGATGAGGAGGACTGAGAAGGATACCATTTGGAAATGGGCTGGTGGAGAAAGGGAAGGAGCCTTTAGCAGTGGGTCACAAATCAAAAGGCCAGCTGTGATCCAGATCCCTGATGAGGTTGATGAGCCCAGTCCAAAACGATTGAGGTCAATCCATGAAACACATCCTGGAGGAGACAGTTTGTTGGCGGAGGAGCTTTTGCAGGCTGAGCTGAATGTCGACAGCGATGAAGAGATCCAGGATCAAAGTGGAAAAGAAAGGCCACCAGACATGACAGAAGATGAGCTCGCAAAACTCGATGATGAAGCCACCAAGCACGAAGAGGAGCGACTGATGAAGATGGGAGTTCTTGAACGTCTTGTTCCGGATGATCCGGATGAGCCTGGCTCCTATACCTTGACGACAAAGATGGTGGTGACATGGAAGAATCGAGAAGAGCAGGCAGGCTGGTTCCGTCGCCCTCGGTTGGTGGCAAGGCAGTACAAGTGGAGTGTGTTCACAGACGATGCATTTGCTCCTACATCAGCTTCAGTCATTGTACGTTTGATGCTGCAGTTTATGCTGATGACAGGACTGAGCTTGTATGTCTTGGACGTCAAGGATGCATTCTTGTTGATGGAGCAGCCTGAAGATGAAAAGGCCATTGTCATGACTCCCCATGGAAAGTATCGACTTCGTCGAAACCTCCCTGGACAGAGGAATGCAGCAGCTCAGTGGTTCCATGGTTTCTGTCGAGCTGCCAAGGAGTATGGATTGGTGATGGACAAGATGCAGCCCACGTTGATGAAGAAGGATACAAATGTTGTGGGAAAGCGACTTCTGTTGACAATCCATGTCGATGATCTGATGGTCATTGGTGACCCAGAGGAAGTGGCCTCATTTATCGAGTTCTTGGAGAGCAAGAAGTGGAAGCTCGAAAAGAAAGGCCCAATTCGACATGGAGCATTTGAGTATTTGAAGAGAAAGATGGAAGTTGTTGAGAATGGCATCACAGTCCGAGCAGACAGTGAACACATCAGGGAGCTAGCAAAGTTGACCCATGTGGAGAAGCTCAAACCCCGGACTACACCGACAGATCACAATTTCACGAAGCTGTCAAAAGATGATGAGCC